AGGCAGAGACGCTCAGTCACAAGGACCCATCTGTTCACTCGCTGCTCCGCCCTCACTCAGCTGCCCCCACAGCTCCCTGTGACACTTGGAGAGTTTGGACCAGCTTGGGCCATCACTGATCCCTCTCCAGCCACTGCTCCCTGGCTGCCTAACAAACGGGACCCTGCCACCTCTCTCCCTGTGTTCGGTGCAGTCTAGAGAGGCAGAGACGCTCAGTCACAAGGACCCATCTGTTCACTCGCTGCTCCGCCCTCACTCAGCTGCCCCCACAGCTCCCTGTGACACTTGGAGAGTTTGGACCAGCTTGGGCCATCACTGATCCCTCTCCAGCCACTGCTCCCTGGCTGCCTAACAAACGGGACCCTGCCACCTCTCTCCCTGTGTTCGGTGCAGTCTAGAGTTCCTGAAATGAGGGGAGAGTCAGACCAAACAGCAGCTGACCTGAGCGTGTCTCGGAGCTTAAGTCTAGTGGGTGGACCCAGACCTGCCCCTGCTGCTGCAGAGAGGATTTCAGACTGACCCAAGACTGGGTCAGTCACATACAGTGGGGAAAGTAACTTAAAAGTTCTTACAGATCACTCAGAAGAACAGGCTGCTACTGCAGCAAGCGGTGCTGACAGAAATCCCCGGATTGTTCGTGGTGCAGTCCTATTGCAAGCTGGGTCCCTGCCAGCTCTTTAAATAGCTCCCTGCTGTCTTTTGCTGCAGCTCAGCTCAGTCAGCTCAGCTCTTACTTTCACCTCTGGTCACATACACCATAGCCATGCTCCATTTGGGGGATGCTCTATGGTCTGTGCTGAGGTCAAAGTGGTACCTTCCGGCCTCAGAATCTATGAATTAACTCTCCATGAGGGGTCACCTGAGCAAATGACACCTGACATAAGGGCATCCCTCAGAACCTATATAGGGCTCTCACACTCTCTTCCCTGAGGAGAGGATGAAGAGGAGCTCAGAAATTCTCCTTATCTCCTGTCTCAGCTGCAACAGAGACCCCTTGTTAGGAAAACAGAGGTGAAACATGATGCAATCTTCATTTATCTGGAAAAGGTAAATTTGAGCTTTTGGTCTGGTCAAGAAGTGGGACTGGGGTGGGCTGCAGGGCAGGACTGAGGGGCAATGGCAGGGCTGTGAGGGGAGCCCAGGGCTGGAATAGCAGGGGGCTGCAGGGCAGGGCTGAGGGGCACTGGCAGGGCTGTGAGGGGAGCCTAGCACTGAAAAATTGGGGACTGAAGGGCTGTGCAGTGGGGAAGCTTGTTGTTTGCTAATCCTAGTAGTTGCTGCTTTTGTAAAGTCCTGACCTGCGGCGCGTTAACTGGACAATATCACATCAAGCCCTGACCCAGGCAGATGTGTAATTTTTCTCACTGTCCCTCCCTTTCCCTGATGGTCTCCCTCCTAACTCCACAAGCTAAGCGATGAGTCTCAGACTTTCCTCCTGCAACTGGAACAAGAGGTGGAGGTGAAGGGCTTGAAACCAGCCAACATCAAAGTCTATGATTTCTATCAGCCAGGTGGGTTGTGGTGGATGCTGTGCTTCCAGGCAGGGAGCTGAGGCTCTTGGCCTCCAAGCTCTGGCGGACAGTAGTAGGCTTCAGGCTCGGCACACTCTCCCCAGGTGTAATTCTGGCTTTGCTTCTCATTGCAGAGGAGCGAGCGCTGGCTGACTATAATGCCGTCTGTAGCTGAGGTAGGTGTGAGCTCTGGCACGGCTCGGGAGCTGACAGCTGGGGAGGAGGTGGGTGACAGTCGATGTCTGGGGTGGGGCATGACAGGAATGCAGAGGGCAGGCGATGCCCCAGAAGAGGCGGGGAGTGGGGGACTGGATACTTTTCAGGACACAATGAGGAAGCTACTGCAGGTGACGGGGGAAGAGGGTCTGGGTGACAGTTCTGTAGGGGCAGAAGAATCTCCCTGCCGTGGTGGGAGTTGAAACCCTTGTGGTGGGAGGGAGGAGTTGTGGGGAGGCCGGAGCTCTGCTTACCATGGAGCAATCAGGAAGCAGCAGCCAGGATGGATCTGGCCTTTGGAGAGGGCTGAACTATTTGCCTAATAGTAATTGCTGAAAGCCCTACCAACACCAGGCAGCATGGCTGGCTCAGTGCAAGTTGGCTTGGGAGGGAAAAAACAGAAGCCCTGCGCCAGCTGGTCTAAGTCAGAACTCTGACCAAGGAGCTCAGGAGCCCACCCATTACTGGCCGAGGCAGGGCCTGTGCCAAAGCCCACTGAGGCCAAGGGGTAGGGGAGGGGCCTGCCGGTTACCATATGTCCGTTTTTTTCTGGACATGTCCTCATTTTCCCATGTTAAATTTCCATCTGGCCGGCTTTTTAAAATGGCAAAAAATGTCCAGGATTTTTTGCCCTGCAAAGGGGATTGGGGAGGGGGTGGTGGCACTTGCCTGTCAAATGGAACATTTGGAGACATGTGCCCAGATGTTAACAGCTGGTCTGCACATGTGCCCCAGCACCTGGAGGGAAAAGTGTGTGGCTGCAACAGGGGCTCTCAGACCCAGGGCATCACCCACCACCCCACTAGATTTATTTCCCTGGCTCTGTGGGAGGGAAAGGGCAGTGGGTTAGAGTGAGGGCCTGGGGGGGTGCCTGGCTCTGGGCAGGGGTGGGCCATTGGGTTACAGCAGGAGGACTGGGGGGTACCTGGATCTGGAGGAGGGGAGGGACATTGGGTTAGAGCAGGAGGGCTGGGGGTAACCTTAGGGTTATAGATATATACAAAATAAATACATAATACATGCCTTAGAGATCTATAAAAATAAATATATAATACATAGATCTTTGCGCTACTATCCACAGCTATTTTAGTCTCCACTCTGTGAGGACTGTGGGAGCTGGTACTTGGTGGGGTGGGTAGGGGAAAGGAAGGGATTCTGGGAAGCAGGATTCCTGGGTTCCTTTTCTAGCCAGGTCACTTCTCTCCTCTGTGCCTTTAACTTCATGCCCCAGGACGGGTCCCAGCCAGCAACCTCCCTGCCCCCCTATTCTCCTCCTGCCCCTGCAGCAGCCTGGGCTGCCGGTGGGTCCGTGGCTCTGCTGGAGCCCGCACAGCTGTGTGTCTCAGGGCGGTGCAGCGGGGAAGTGGGAACCCGGCATGCGGCATCCCCTCGTGCCACGAGAGCCAGTGGGGGCAGCGGCAGGCCCAAGGCACCAGCAAGGAGGTGGCCAGAACCCCGGGCTTGGCGTGTGCAGGAACGAGTTTGCTGGCTCCCAAGCCTGGCCGCCTGTGTGGGTGGAGCAGTTGCCGTGGCACAACAGGCACCAGGTGTCCTCGTTTGAAAGTTCAAATATGGTCACCCTACCAAGGGGAGGGATTGTGCAGGACCACACCATCCCTGCCCACCTCTCCTTGCTCTAACGCTGCAGCCCGGCTGCTTTCCTGGGTGATACCATGTGGACAAAAGCTCCCAAGTGTGTGGGGGGAGCCGCACCCCCTGACTGCTAGGTAATTGCTCTGCCCTCTCTTCCAGCGCAGGGGGAGGAGGCTGGATGGACGTGGGGCATCCAGCTCCCACCACAGCTCAGTAGGATTCCTGCAGCCTCCTTGCCGGGAAGGCAATGGCTGGGCTGCGTTGTGGGGGACCCGTGAGGGATTCGTGGAGGAGCTTCCAGCTGGGGAGACTGGGTTATTGCTTCCTGCCCTGCCCCCAGGTCCGGCCTGATTTTTCTTCCAGGGGACGGTGTCTTTGGCTTCAAGTCCATTTGCTCTGGGGATTTGCCAGAGGAGAATTAAACAATTGCACACTAGGTCTCCACTGTTGGTCTCATGGTTACAATGGAATGGTGGGACCCCCACAGGGATGATGGCCACCAGAGGCGAGCTCCTGGCTCCTCTGTTGCCCTCCCTTTGCCCTCATGGCCTTTCCCAGCACTACCCTCATCAGAGACCTTTCCTGCACTTGGAGATGGGCAGGAAGGGGTGGAGTTAACAGCTGGACCTCAAACCCCTTTCTCTGCACATCCCTGTCTCTCAGGTAAGCCACCTCCGCCACTGACTCATACTCCTCCAGGCTCTTACTCATTAGCTGCCCTTTCTAAGGCACGGGCAGGTCTACAGCACACCATAATTGGCACTACATCTGCTGAATGACCCAGTTCCAGAGATGAGTAACCGAGTGCCCTGTCAGCAGGCCCAAGAAGGCCGACTACCTTCAACCCCCTAGGACGAAGCCCACCCTGGACTGTCAGTCTGTCCATGCCAGCCAGATGGCAGCTTTGAAACAAACATGGAGAAGGTCGTGCTGCCTGTAGTGCAGAAGTGTGAGGATAGGGCAGGCCCCTCCCTGTTTTCACCTCCGCTGTCTGATTTTGTTCTTTCACACAATTGCACTAAGCACAACAGAGGGGTCATCATCCCCAAGCCGTCTTCCTAACACTTCAGTTCTCGCTGCTGCCACCTGTGCCCTTCTCCATGAACAGGTGGATAAAACAGCTCCCTTGAGAAATTTCAGTCTGAGTCGGGATAATTGTAACAAACTGGTAGGCTATTCTAAGCCATGAACTTCAGGGGGTAGCCGAGTTAGTCTGTTACAGAAAAAAACAGCAAGCAAATGGTCTGGTAGCACTTTACAGACTAACATATAGACGGGATCATGAGCTTTCGTGGGCACAACCCACTTCTTCAGATGACCGAGTTATGATTAGTGGATAAGGAAACTCGAAATAAATAGGAGAAGGGAAGGGGGGGGGGGGGGGGGAAGAAAGATGCTCTGTGGCCCACCCCCCTACCTCTATGCATAAATTATCAGAAGAAAGGGTGCTAAACCTGAGTAGGTAAAGTTCAAAGTCAGTGGATGGATAAGGCAGGAAGGATACCATTCAGAAAGTAGTTAGCACCTTCATTGATAAAGGTTCCACCACTCCAAATCTTGATTAAGTCCATAAATAATTGAATTGAATTTACGTATGAGTTGTAATTCCAAGTTTTCCCTGTGGATTTGACTTGAGGAACTGGCCTGTGACAAGACTGCCATGAAGTTACTAATTGATCAGAAGCTGGCATCAGGCAATTAATGAGTCCCAGCATGCCTAATCTCCCCATAGTATCTGACAGCAGCATAGCATGACTGCTGGAAAGCTGGGGGAAGGGGCATCTGTTCCTACTCTTTGAAGAAGAAAGCAAAGGACTTACAAAGTGTCCCCGGTTGAAGTGGGGGAGGAGGAAGAGAAACACACACACCCCGGAGAGAAAATACCACAAGCAGCCAGTGGAGATTTAAGACACATTGGTCACATGGCCCTTCCCAGCAAGAGTAAGGGTAGCAGTCCTCTCCTGCTGCTTCAAGATCTTACGCCCACGTGACCACAAGTGCAGTGCCGACTGCACCCAGCAGAAGGCATATCTATGCCAGCCTGGCCATTACCACAATGTTTGGACCCCCAGCATTTGTACCTGAGAATTTTAAAGCATTTTACGCACATGAATGAGCATCACCTCATCCTTTAGGAACAGGTTCCCATCTCCATGCCCCTTTTAGAGTTAAGAGGAAAGAGAAGTCCACAGATTGAATTACTAGTCCAGGGTCATCCAGCAGAGCCAAGAGGAGATTTTGGATGTCTAGGTTCTAATTCCTGTGCTCTGCCCATACACAGCCCTGCCTCTGGAGAAGGACCCTGTAGCTCTAATGACATTAATCTGTAAGTACTAGGGTTGCCAACCCTCCTGGTCTCTCAGAGAGGCTCCTGGAATAGAGCTTCATCTCCTGGAAGCTACTGAAGTCAAACTGGAAGATTTGAGGCTTCTAAAAGTCTGTCAGTGCAGTGAGGCTAAGGCAGGCGCCCTGCCCGCCCTGGCTCCTTGCCACTCCCGGAAGTGGTTGGTATGTTCCTTTGGCTCTTGTGGAGGGTAGCAGCAGGATGCATGCACAGCCCCCCCTTTCTCCGAGCACTGACTCCACAGCTGTCATTGGTCAGGGGCTGCAGCACCATGCTGGCTGCTTCTGGGAGCAGCACAGGGCCAGACAGACAGGGAGCCTGCCTTAGCCCTGTTGCACCACTGACCGGGAGCTGCTTGTAGTAAGCATTTCCCAGCTGGATCCTGCACCCCTCATCTCCTCCCATATCCCAACCCCCTGCCTCTGGCTCAGGCTCACATGCCAAACCTCGGTCCCAGCCCAGAGCCCGCACCCCCATCTGCATGCAGCCTTTCACCTTCCAGCACCAGAGGCAACTAGTCAGAGGGGAAGCTGGGTGAGGGGGGGCATCAGCCACGTGACCCCCTCAGTCCAGGGAAGGACAATCCCCTCCAGCCAGACCCTGCATCTTTCTGCCCCTGCTCAGCCCCCTCCCCGCCCTTGCTCCACTCCTGCCCCACCTCCTTCCCCAACCAAGCTGATCTGGGAGGCTAGCAGGGCTGGCGCTGGCAGCAGTGTTCTGCCATCCCTGCACTCACAGGCTGCAGTGGGGGAAGTGGAGCAAGGCGGCCCTGCTGCTTTGTTCCCTCGGCCAATGCATCTCCCCTCTTCCCTCGAGGGAGTGCGGGGGTGGTCCTGTGCCCTCTCCCAGCAGTAGGGTTGCCTTGCTCCATTTTTCCTGCTGCTGCTGGTGAATGCAGGGGATCAGAGCCCTTCTGTGGCCACCATTCCCCCACTAGACTGCCTGCTGGCTGCTGGACGGCCCCTCCTGCCCATGGTGTTTGGGGGTTTGCAACCCCCTGTACTCCCTCGTGTCTCTCCTGTTCGGTACCAATTCTATCCAGCCCCAACTGGGGGGACGGGATGGCTCAGGGAGCTCAGCAATACAGACTCACTCCAGAGCAATAGTCTCACCACTACACTTTAAAACACTGACAAAAGCATCCTGCTTAAACACATTTGAAACTTCTTTATCTGACCCTACATTACTGTCTGTCTCTCTCAACCAGAAGAGACCAGACTCTAGAAGGAGTGATCACTCCTTTGGCCACTAGATGGCGCTGCAGCACCACACATCCCCACTCTTTAGTTTCTCTGGGTTGGGATGATCTGCACTGGCCCTCATCCCAAACAGATCCCATAAATGGCATCCTGCTGCATGCTGGTCCCCTCCCACTGAACACTGTTACCCAGGACAGTGTCTTTCTTGCAGGCCTCCCAGGCTGTGCCAGGTAGTCACATACAGAGCATGAGAGGATGCTCTCACAGGCAGGGGACACCGTAGTCTTACAGCATTTTCTTCTGTAGAAGGCAAAGAAACCATAAAAGCGGAGCCAAATGCAAGGCTATACCACTTGCTTGCAAGAAAAAGAGAGAATGCCAAAACCCTTGACTGGCTAGACTCTCTGTCATAAGCCCTGTATTGGTAACACCTATTGGGGATTCTCCTTTAGCTTGAGTGGTATGGGCCTCAGCTTTTGGAGCAGTAAATTCCAAGAACAGTGTCAGCTTTGGTGGCCGCAGAGTTGGCCCAGAAAGACCTGACTACCTTACATGTCCCTATCTTCTGTCTTCTTCTATGCATAAAGTATCAGAAGAAAGGGTGCTAAACCTGAGTAGATAAATTTCAAAGTCAGTGGATGGATAAGGCAGGAAGGATACCATTCAGAAAGTAGTTAGCACCTTCATTGACAAAGGCTCCACCACTCCAAATCTTGATTAAGTCCATAAATAATTGAATTGAATTTGCGTATGAGTTGTAATTCCAAGTTTTCCCTGTGGATTTGACTTGAGGAACTGGCCTGTGACAAGACTGCCATGAAGTTACTTCTTGAAGGTCTTAGGGAAGATATATTATTTTCACTGTTACCTAAATCACCCATCACAGTGCATCTGGCCTCTCTGTCTACATTCCCTCACACAAAATACACGAAAAAACCATAAAAAACCAACAAATAGTCTTACAGCACTTCAGAGTCTAACAAAAAAGGTAGATGGTATAATGAGCTTTTGTGGGCACAACCTACTTCTTCGGATGAATGGTGTTAAGGGATCCAGGTTCCAAATAAACAGCAGAGAAAGAGAGGGGACAGAGGAGGGTGGGGGAAGAGAAGGAAAAAGAAGGGGAAAAGGAATTGTCAATTAGAGTATCCATGCTAAACGAAGCCCCACCCACTCGAGAGAGTCACCACCAGCTGCCCCCTTAGGAAGGCCACATAAGGGACACCCTGAAGGTAAGGAGGTGGGGTGGGTTGTGTAGTGGGATAGGGCATTGGCCTGGGGACCCCAGGGTTGTGGGCACAACCTCCACCCACCCTGACATTGTTCTTACACCCAGCACCAATTGCCCAGGGATGGAGCTGGCTCTCCATTAGGAAGGCAAGATAAGAGATGCCCTGAAGGTAGGCAGATGCTCTTAAATACCCTGTGCTTAGGTTTTTGTCTCATTGGGATGTGGAATGTAGTGGGCCAGCCACACAAGGTCTTTGTTGAGACCTCTGTTGCAGGTATCACACTTGTAAATGAAATTACGTTATGCAGCCTCCCTTTCAAGCTGTTTTTTTAAATTGGTTTGTAATAAAACGGTGACTTTCAGATCCATTAGTGAGTGCCTGGGCAAGTTGAAATGTTCCCCCAACAGGTTTCTTTGTGTCATCTTTTCGAATATCTGATATCCATTTATCTTTTGTTGTAGAGAGTGTCCAGATTGACCAATATCCATGGCAGAGGGGCATTGCTGGCACTTGATGGCATAGATCACATCGGTGGATGTACAGTTGTATGAGCCTCTGATGTGATGGTTTATGTGGTTAGATCCTGTGATGATATCACTTGTGTATATGTGAACAGAGTTGGCACCGGGGCTAATTGAAGGGT